TTTTTTTTTTTTTTTTTTGACTTTTGTGAAAAAAAAAAAAAGTATTTCTAATATTCTAATAGCATGATTATTATAAAAATTGTTTTAATACTGCAATACTGTAATCCAAGGTGTTCATTAAGGTGTCGGTAATTAGGTCATCCAATCCGGGATCAAAAGATGAAGGAGTAGGAGGCGATAGGCACAAAATTCCACTTGGGTAAAGTTTAATCTCAAAAACAGGCAACTGCACAGTTGGTAGGATGAAGGACAACTGCCCCAAAAATTGGTCTGTTGCTATATTCAACTGACAAACTTGCAACAATAGGTTGTGAGGTTATGAGAAAGTGTCTTTTTAGTTGCTGAGAACTTGCCAAGTGATTAACACGCAGGTGTGAAAGTTGATAGTAGTTTAATAAAATGGTATCATTAAAAATCTAGGTCATGCCATAAATAGACAAGGCTAAGTCTCATACTGGTCTTTAAATTTTTGAACTTCTTTAGAAGGCATTCGAACATTCTTTAGAAGGCTTTTGGAATATGAAATCGAATGCAGAAAAAACAATTAGTATGACATGACAAATATGAATTGAATATAGCTAATAAAATAGAACACAGGGACAAGATTAAATGTCATAACCTGCACATTGAGAACCTTTTACTTGTTTACCAAAAGCATTTGCTCTGAAGTATAAGATAATCATTATTCATACAAAACAGAGGAAGTGCTTTTGCTTCTACCTTTTGCTCGAAGCATTTGTTTTTACTTCTACCTTATGCTTATTAGTATTTCCTTCGTTTTTATTCATATGGGCTATTGTTTCAATCATGTGTAGTGACTGGGATATATCAGAATATATCTTGTCTGTAGATGGGGTAATCATCAGAATTTTACAACAGACATGTTACTAAGTTAGTTAAACAATTTTAATAAAATGATAACTAAAACGATCAGAAATATAAGGATTTCTCCACTACAATCACATATATGATCAAGCCAATTAAATATATGGCTGAACTTGGGTATATCGTCCAAGATATACTAGTTTTCACTCATGTGTTGAGATTACATGAATAGTTACTATGCTACTGTCCATGCCTAGTTGTAGTATACGCTCAAGCTTCATAACCAGCATTGCCAACCGCATAGTCCAAATAATTCTGACTGGAAAAATACTAGTCCCATGAAGATCACCTACAATATGGCCTCACTTAGTACTATGAACTATACTTGCATGGGATGTCTTCATGCAGATGTAGATGGATTTTCAGATCATCCACCTCACCAGCAGTTAACCTCCCTTTTCTTTTTTGTTCCCTCTCTGATTCTCACCTATCCGAGTCTCTATTCTTCCTCATATCCTCCATTCAAGCCTCCAATCCACGTCAGAACGGCAAAAAAACAAAAAGTTCCTCCAGCACATGAGACCCCCTTTTTATACATCCTGCTATCCAGGCCTTTTTCTTTCGTCACATGGTCTCCTTCTTGTCCAATCAGCCCTGCACAACCTTAACACCCAAAGGTGGCACATAACACAACACAGGACATTCTGCGCAAGCATAGAACATTAATAAATACAAACAAAAACCTATATAAACACACAATGCGAATATGTACTAGTACACAATGTTAACATGAAGTAAAAAAGATAACCAACAATTTACAGTAGCGAAGCACTACACATGTTATCATAATATTGCTTCATACAATATTCACCAAGCAAGACTGAGAATAAAATTATCCAAAGACTTAATATTGTGTGTATTAACTGAGACTTTGACAGATATATTAAACACAGGTGAAAAAGATGAAATTTTTCAGAGGATGCCTAAAAATATGTTTAATAATCTATGATTTATTAATTAATATTCCCCTTGAGTTAACAGAACTGTAATGAATATTGTTATATCACTGATCTAGTGAATATAAGATAGATCATTTAAAAATTTATCTGTAAAACTGGCATTGAGCACAACAATAATTTTGCAGAAATATTTGCAAATCCAGAACTGTCAATACTATCAACAGTAATCCCTACAGGTTGATCCTGGAAGTAAAACCATCTAGCCCATCAGAGCTGCATTTCTTGGACATAAATATTAGAGTGGAGGGATTTGGTATCCACACCTTAGTATTTTGTAAACTGGGTTCAATGTCCTCATACATACTGGTGGGGTCATGTGATCCCTTTACAAAATTGCAGCATATAAGGCACTAATTAGAAGAACTTTTACACATTCTTCTACTCCTAAAGCTCCTATGTGCTCTTGTTTATAGAGCACATAGCCATTGCACATGGTTACCACAACATTACACATAGGCTGATTGAATGTTATCACTGCATGCAATCAGAATACATCCCCCCCTAGTTGACTTGATGAGAGATAACCAAACTGAGAATATGGAATGGAAACCTTATTACCTTTAACCCACACCTAAATCATCATGTGCTGAAATTGCCAGGAAATGCCAGGTTTGTATCACTTTCAGGAGGTGCCCGACTATTTTTGACATGCTTTGTAATGGGAAGGACTCATCCAACCCGAATAGACTCCCTGGCACATATAGTGTCCCCATTAGAAACAATAGATAATGATAGTGACATGGTATACATTGGGTCAACTAAGCACTCCATGGGAACCAGATTACAAGAGCATCTCGCAGATATACAACATGCAAGAACTAGCACAGCCCTCTCCACATATACCACGAATCCTGACATTGTAGCTAACTTCAACAAGGCCAAATTCATCCTTGCTTCACCCCCCACAGAACACCTCAGATAGTTGGAGGCAGTGCAGATATTTAAATCTAATATTACATCCACGTGCATAAATTATGAGGTGGCAAAGGTTTTGTTGATGGCCTGGCAAGAGTTGATTGACAACACTGTTTAATTGTTTGTTGAGTCCCTGTTGGGCAACTGAATATGCAGGCATGACTTGGGTTTTTAAATTTTGTGCTCGTAATTTGAAAACTCATTTGAATTTTATATTCCAAAAGCTTTTACAATGTTCCATTGGGTAACCATTATAATTCCTGAAGAA